ATGGATGAGTTAAATGATGGGGAGGCAAGGGGGTAGGGGGAAATGGAGGAGATGAGGGAGGGGCCAGGGATAAGTGAGGGGGGGGTAGGAGTAGGGGGAGGGGGTAGAAAGTTTAATGTTATTAAAGATGGAGGCGAATTTATAGGAGGAATGAGGCAATGGAGGGAGTGGGGGGAAGAAGGTTGAAAGAATTTTACGCCCTCATCACCACAATTTATATCATTTGAGAGGCGGGTGTCCAACTCTGCCTATCAAAACCGACCTGAGCAGAATGGGGTACAACATCCCAGCAGTAACACCGTTATTGGCGTTATATCAATATACAATACAAATAAATTACTCTTCTGTTTGTTCCAGAAGGGCACTTTGGTTTACAATTAGGTTTACAATTCAATAAGGATATAAATTCTCCCCACCCAAGAATCAAACCCGGGTCTCGTGCGATCGACCGAGAAGCTCTACTGCTACACCACAGACGCAGGTGTAAAGCAATCGCTTTATAAATTATTGCTTTGTGTCGACGAGTGCCTGATTTCACCACAATGCCACACAATAATTTAATATCTCAATAACTGGACATGAAAGAAAGCCCTGAAACACCGAGGACAAGAAACAAATAACTGCCTCTGTTTTACCATACCAAATTCTTGGGTGGTTAGTGGTTGACCTGATGTGATTTGCTCGACCCAAACATCGATTATCCGTATGTCTCGTTTTTTTCTTTTTTACTTTACTCTCTTGTAACATCTCTATTCTACGGCACTTATAATTATGATCTTACTGTGTTGCTAGTTCCATAAAACCCTTACTAAAGCTAAAACTGAAATTGAAAAGTTTAGCATATCACAGGCGCGCTGACAAATTGAGTTAATTCTCGGACGTTATCCCTATGGAAACAGATAGATACATAAAAAATATTGTTCATTTGTACAGTTTGTTATATGAATTCATAAAAGACACGACAATATTAAACCTGAAGAGAATGGCATCAGTTTGAAAATCTGCAATAGATATGATTTGTCTTTTTTGGCGACGTCTCCATTCGTGGATTTCAAGAAGATATTCATTTTGACAGCCTACATAACGTTGTAATAGCGAGTATAATATACTGGCGTTTGCTGAAAAGTTACATCGAGCCAATCCTATTGTACGGGTGCGAAGCAAGGGCAATCAATACACAGCTGGAAAGAACAATTGTGGCGACAGAGTTGTGGTTCATAAGACGCATACTGTGCATCCCATGGACAGCTAGAAAAATAAAAAAGTGCTGGTTGAAGCAAATTGCAGACGACAACTTATGACAAAAATATGAAAGCGACAGGCAAACTTCATTGGAAACACATTACGGAAAGAAGCATTAGAGAATATTATTCAGGAAGCGAACTTGGGTCTTCTACGGGCGTCTGTGAAGCACCTAACAGCCA